TCTCTCTCTCTCTCTCTCTCTCTCTCTCCGGTACTAACCTGTGAAGGTGGCGCCTTGTTGCAGGTACATCGAAGACGAAGCTGGAGCTATGGCGCCACAGGTAAGTATCCCTGGCCTCCGTCAACCATCTCTCTCTCTCCAACGCTACTCTAGCTCCTAATACCCAACGCTAAAGACTACTGCTAACTCTACTACTACTACAGTTTTGTCGAATCCTGAAGACTGCCTCCTGCCTCCTGCACGTGAAGTGCCTGCGGAGTCCCTATGAACTACCTCCTGACTACCTGCAGCTTGCAGGGCGGGCCAGTCTTATATAGTGCTGGCCCGACCAAGAGGTTCTTGCCAATGCCAAAACAACGTGCCAGACCCTGGTGTTGAAGTTCAAACAAAGGTTGTCTTGAAAACAGGCCCAAAATGGCCTGTGTTAAAACCCTGGTCTGGTGCCTAAGTTTCAGGGCAGGTCAATCTTATGAGGGCCTAAAAATGGCCCTCCGTTTCGGGTTGAAAAGACTCAGGGCCTGGAGGGCCCTTTTTAGGCTGAAACGACACAGGGCCTGGAGGCCCTTGTTTTCAAGCTTTTAGGCTGAAACGACACAGGGCTTATAGGCCCTTGTTTTCAGGCTTTAAGGCTGAAACGACACAGTGCCTGTAGGCCCTTGTTTTCAGGCTTTTAGGCCGAGAACGCTGGCCGGGAGGGCGAGGCTGTCTGTTTGAGGGAGGGACCAAAGTTCGGGTGGGAGGGGCAGGTCATGAAGCTCCCTTAGCTAACCTTTGTCGTTTGTAGTGAGCGTAGATCAGCGGTGCGGATGCTTTCAAATCTTCTCCTGAAATCCATCGAGTGTCGTCGGGATCGCATGCTTTGAAGGTAACTTTGTATTGTCGAGGCTTGCTGCCGTACTTGCGATCCGTGATGACGCGGTCAACTTCCTGATGACCATCCATAGACGGAGGGTCTTGCCATCGTCAGCCCGAGAAGTCGTCGCTCTTAGCTGGTGTATATGTCGCCAGCTTCGAGGCATGAAAGACTGGATGGACCGTCAGATGCGGGGGGATGTTGATCACAAATGAGGGGCCATCGGGCTCATCACCCGCGGCTGATGTTACGGGCCATGGTCCAAACCACTTGGGGAGTAGTTTGCGCGAAACATCCTGCTCGAGTGCAAACTCTTCCGCGGAGACCCAAACCAGATCACCGGTGCAGATGGGACATGGCACGCGACGCCTGTTGGCTTGCTGATGAATGCGGACTCGAGTCTTTTGCATGTTTGCACGTGCTTGAGCCAGCAATTCCCTGTACTTCGAGATGGAAGCGGGGGAGCAAGCAGAGTCTATGTCGGCTGTTCGTGGGAGGAGAAGATCAGCGAAGATATGGCCTTTCCGACCACCGTGATGCAACTCGAAGGGAGTCACGCCGATCGCCAGATGCAACAGAGTGTTGTAGGCGAACTCGATGTCGGGGAGGCGGTCAACCCAATCCATCTGGTCCGCAATGTTGTCCGGTTGGACTGCAACGACATGCTGCAGACAAGGACCAAATTTTCCCTTCTCCACATAGGCTGGCTGCCACAATGACTTCTCGTGTGCAGCAGCCCGGTTGGTCTTGATGATCTCTCGCGCCTTGTCGATAATTTCAGCAAAGGTCGTGTACTGCTCGCGATCACCGAGTGCGAGGCTCAAGGCGGCACACGACCGGTTGTAGAACTCTCGGCGCACATGCGAAAATGGCAACTCGAGATCGGGCGTTGCCACAATCTTTTGCCATTCTGTGAGCCAATCGCGTGTCGGTGTGTTGCCTTGGGTCATGGTGAAGAGGCGGTTGATGGCGAGCGTCGAGGCGTCGTAGACGATGAACCGCTTCTTCCATTCTCTCGTCAGATCTTCCCAGGAGATCTTCTGGTATAGATGGTTGACTTGGACGCCGTGGATGGTTGCCATGTGGCTGAGTGTTACATGCCCAGTTGGGCGATGTACATATAAACCGAGGATCCGCAAGGTGATAAAAAAGACTGAATGGACAATGCAGTGCAAGTGGAATCTCAACAAGCAATGTGCATTCCGATACACACAAAATGGTGCTTTATGGCGCTGGGAAGACTTTAGATACAAGTTCTGACCTGACCGGGACTGACCTCTACCACGTAGTGCAAGACAGCGCAGCAAAATGCTAGAATACCAATGACTAGCCCAATCAATGTTGCAACGCAGACCAAACATACATCATGCTCATCACAAGGTGTGAAGGGGCCTGACGCTATACACACGAAGGAGGCGCCAGGTCCAGATATACACAGACGAAGAGGAGGGGATCAGACGAAGAAGAGGAAGGGGGGAGATGGGAAAGTCGTCAACACCAAGTCTCGTTACAAGTCCCAAATAATCCCTCTTCAAAATGTCTGAAGTCCAATGTCGAGTCCGGATCCAAATGTCACCAAGCTCTCTCTCTCTCTCTCTCGTAGTCTGCTGATACAGTGAAGTCAGATAGCGAGAGGGTGAGAAGGAGATGGTGGACTGAGAAGAGGAAGAAAAAGAACTTTCTCTCTCTCATGTGCCAGGTACTAACCTGTGAAGATGGCGCTGTGCTGCAGATACCTCGAAGACGAAGCTGGAGCAATGGCGCTGCAGGTAAGTCTCCCTGGCCTCCGCCCAATCTCTCTCTCTAGTACTACTCTAACTCCTATGGCGCCCAGCGCTGAAGACTACTGCTAAAGCTGCCACTACTACTGCAGCGCTCCTCCAGAGTGCTGCTGCCGAATCCTGAAGACTACCTCCTGCCTCCTGAACTGCACGTGAAGTGCCTGGGAAGTACCTAGGAACTGCCTGCAGCCTGCAGGGCGGGCCAGTCTTATATAGTGCTGGCCCGTCCAGGAGGCTGCTCTTGCCAATGCCAAAATGTGCCAGACCATGGGGTTGAAGCTCAAACAAAGGTTGTCTTGAAAATAGGACAAAAATGGCTTGAGCTAAAACCCTGGTCTGGTGCCTAAGTTTCAGGGCAGGTCGATCTTATGAGGGCCTGAAAATGGCCCTCCGTTTCAGGCTGAAAAGACTCAGGGTCGGAAAGGCCCTGATTTAGGCTGAAACGACACAGGGCCTGTAGGCCCTTGCTTTCAGGCTTTTAGGCTGAAAACGACACAGGGCCTGTAGGCCCTTGTTTTCAGGCTTTCAGGCTGAAAACGACACAGGGCCTGTAGGCCCTTGTTTTCAGGCTTTCAGGCTGAAAACAACACGGGCCTAAAAATGGCCCGTGCAGCCTGTTGCCGGCGTAGCATGTAACACTGAGCCAGATCTGGCATCCACCCTTGGCGTTGAGGACCAACGTCAAGATGAACAAGTATTCGGGGACCTCGTGAATCCGAAGTTTCGTTGTAAAGCCCTGCCACCAGGGGACCGGGTCTTGATGTGTATAGTCATCAAACTTTTCGATCCGGAACGTCGACATCTTGTACTGCCGCGACGCATTGGTGCTGCCATCGTTGTCGGGCGGCTGGTGTAGTTGCTGAATCTCGTTCTTCAAGGTGTCCAGCTGCTCACTGATGGAGGTCAGTGCGGCGAAGGTGCTGATGTCGCCGAGCATTGTGAGTATATGATCTACTTGTTGCTCCAACTGGCGGGTAGAGGCTGCATTGTTGGGTTCGCCAGCGTCTGGTCTTGGTGCTGCTTGCTCCAAGTCTTGTACACGGGTATGAAGTGCCCGTGTAGCATCCTCGTGTTCCCAGTGCTGTTTCTCTAACTCGGACTGTAGGTGGTTACAAGTGTAAACCAACCGGGTCACGAGTTCGGAGAGGAACTCCTTGTGCTGCTCATCCGGTGTCGCGTCATCGTGGCCCTCGGATGGTTCAAAATGCCAGAACTTGAGCCTGTCGAAGTTGGTGGCTTCGTGCCGCTGCAGCAGATCCTGGGCCTCCTTGCGGCGGGCCTGGGTATCTGCGTCAGCTGCGGCCTGAAGCCGCTGCTTTTCAGCTGCTGCCCCCGCTTCAGCCTGTAGACGGGCAGCCTCGGCTGCCGCCTGGCGCTGTTCGTGAGCCTCGATCAGTGCGAGCTGAGCTTGGAACCGCTGTCGGTACTCGGCAATGGACTCGTTGGCCAGTTGGCCTAGCATGCCCAAACCTGAAACCGTCATGGTGGCGGGGCACTGCTGAGGTGTCACGGCTGCCGCGATACTACTGACGTGGCACTGCTGCTGTTGTGGCACTGCTACTGACGTGGCACTGCTGCTGACGTGGCACTGTTGTTGATGTCGCACTTACCAAACCGGGAATGCAGGCAAAGGGCTGGGTGGGAGGGAAACGCAGGAAGATAACCAAACTGCCCTTCCCCTTCCCGGTCCTATTCAACAGAATAAAAAATAAGAAATAAAAGAGGATCCCCTTTTTTTTTTTTTTTTTTTTTTTAATATATGTCGATCGGCAATTAGTGAGGCATCACGGAGGAATGCTATGAGCGAGATCTAGGCAAGGTGTCGCAAAGTTTCGGCTTTCAAAAAAAATGCGATCTTGAAAATTTTTTTTTGCGCGAAATAGAATGGAGGTTCCACTTTCAGAGAAGAATAGATCCAGTTTCCGAGAATGTGACAACCTCCCTAGTTCACCTAATATGCTCAGAGAGAAAAAAAAGAAATGCTAATATCTGACTTTCCGAAGAATTGTTGAACAAGTGGACCCGCCGCAGCTACGCGGCGAAGGACGATGACAAAAACATTTTGCGAAACACCCCAGCCATCAGTTGGAGCCCATCTTTGCAATGTACCCCTACCGGACAGTGGCGAACTTTGTAAAACGCGCCGGCAGTTGCCAACTTTTTGTAGGTGCAATTGCAAAAGGCCAAGAGAGTTTGCACTTCCACCTGACAGGGGCATAACACAAACATGTCAGTCCAAAAGGCCATTCCACTGTGTCCATATCTTTCGGGGACATTTTGACACATATCTCAACCTATGGGGGTATTTGGAAAATTACCC